TCACTGAGGGCACTGTAGATGACTAATGAGTGACTTGAAAAGGATGAGTGCAATGTTTAGTCTTATAAGATTATTTATTGACTGTACTTTTAACTTTATCTATTTTTTGATTGACCTTTTTTGAAATATAAGAATTACTCTGTGTCTGTCACCATGTTTATAAGGTTTTGGTGTGAGAGATTAATGGATGAAGATATACCACAAAAAAAATTTTCTCTTTTCTTATTGTATTTTTAAAAGGAAAATAAGTCACTGTTATCAGTGCTTCATCTGTGCTAATGGCAGCCTGCATACTTGCAGTTACTTGCAGGAATTAGTTTTCCTTTTTTATCACAAATTTGGTATCTACAACCTTTTTTAAACAGAAAACCCAACTATTTCTATGAATAATAACTTGTGCTTAAAATGTGAATTTTTATAATTGCATTGGTTAATTGTTTAGGTTAATTTAAATTAGACAACAATGTTGTATATTTAACAAAATAATTCATAATAAGCCCTTCATAGGAAATAAACAAATTAGGATCGTTAGAAGTTGCATGAAGAATTGACTGGTAAAGCAAAACAAGCTCACAACTTTGATCCTTCCTTTTGACAGAACTAAGTTTCAAATTTTACCATAATATGCAGAGAATAAAACACATTTGATATCTCAGCAACAGGCACAAACTTGGTATTTCAGTGAGGGTAAATGACATTGAGCAGGAATTGGTATGATTATACCTTTATGGTGAGTCATAACTAATGAAGCAGTCTCATGCTCATGAAGCGAAACTGGTGACACAAGTGAGAAGAATGCAACAGGCAAGATCAAGGAGGCAGTGAAGGAGGATGTGCATCTCACACACTTATCTCAATGTCATCCTGGCCTGGATCAGCAGTAGTGTGGCCAGCAGGACAGGGCAGTGATTGTCACCCTGTACTGGGCACGGGTGAGGCCATGCCTCAAATCCTGTCCAGTTCTCAGCCCCTCACTGCAGGAAAGACACTGAGGGGCTGGACTGTGTCCAGAGAAGGGCAACAGAGCTGGGGAAGGGTCTGAAGCACAAGTGAAGATCAGCTGATGGAACTGAGGTTGTTCAGCCTGGAGAAAAGGAGGCTCAGGGGAGACCTCATTGCTCTCTACCCGTCTGAAAGGAGGCTGTAGAGTAATGGGGGTCCGTCCCTTCTCCCAGGCAGCTGGTGGCATGACAAGAAGAAATGCCTTCACACTGAGACAGAGGAGATTTAGGCTGGATGTTAGGAAAAATGTCTTCAGTGAAAGGCTGTTCAGGCATTGGAACAGCCTGCCTAGGACAGTGATGTAATCACCATCCTGAAAATATTGAAAAAGCATACAGATAGAACGCATGAAAATATGATTTAGGAGTGAACATGGCAGTCTCAAGTTAGTTAGACTCAATGACTTAAGTGGTCATTTCCACCTTCAATGATTCTATAACTCTATGTGGTTTAGAGGGAAAAAAGCAGAGAAAATTAAAAGAAAAAAAAGACATTTCAATGTTTTTGCAGCAGAAAATGTCTCTTGTAACTTAGTAGACAAATCTGTTCACTGTGTACAGAATCCTAGTAGAAACCTACTGAGTAAATTAAGACAGAAATTTTCATATCTAATTTGGAGAGGAATAAAATCTCAGGTAAAATAATATTAGAAATACTTACAAAATCATTTTAGAGATCTGTCTTGGTAAAAAGTCAGAAAGAAAAAATGTCTGTTCACTGTGAGATTATCCAACTTTTAGTATAGAATTCAGGCCCTTGACTCTGACCCACTTTTACTTCTTTTGTTTAGATTAGTATTTTTCACATGTCTACAAGTACTGTCTCTCTGCTTCCAGAAACCACGATTTTATACATTTTTTCTCAATTATTTGGTTCTCAATGGCAGGTAGATTCTTTCTGCTCTTCCCTCTGCATATGTCTCTTCCTCTTCAATTTCAGCTCCTCTCTTTCCATCTCCTCTTCTGTTAATGTGTGGGCTTCTGCTCTTGCAAAAATTGAAATAATTTATTCACTCCTGTAATGAAAGGGAATTTTTATGAATAGTTACAGTGCTTCAGCTGACACAGAATGGCTTTTTGGCTCTAGCAATTTGTTTGTGTGTCCAAGTTTTGTATTTCTTTTTAAGCTTTTTTCAAATATTTTAAAAATCTAGTAGAGTACATATGTTGTAGTCTCTTTTTGGAGGTATCAAACCATACACTTTAGTTTCTTCATGAGTAGTCTCATTGAAACTATCAGGACAGTTTACACACCTGAGCTTCAACGAGAGCCTTATAAATCTTAGTTCTGAGAGAGGTATCAATACCACATTACTTTTCAGTCTCTGAACTGCCACACTGCTCTCTCTCTGCCTCAGTTTCCATGCTTTCATTTTTCTTCCTCTCTCAGGAGAAATCTACAAGATTACGTAGCTGTCATAACTACCACTAGACCTATGCTAACTGATCTAAGACGAAGGATTCTCAGAGACAGAGCTGTGCTTATTGCATGTAAGAATATTAGTGTGGGAGAGAGGGGAGGCAAAAAAGACTAACTCTGTAGGTTGCTCTTTAAGCATTTGTCAGGGATATGCAACATAGAGATTCATGGGGATTCTAGTCCCAGGAAATTTGAGATAAATATGCAAAAGTGATAAAATTTTCAGTGGAATCACTGGAAAAAAAAAACCCTTAAACTGCTCCAGTATATCTGTATTTGAATATACACAGGGAAATTAAATTCAAGTTCTAGCTCCAAATCTCTTTCATGTGAACAAATAACACTGTTCCTTGTGAGTGGTGCAGCTGGGGGTTGATCTCATTTTTCATGGATAAAGGAGACTATGAAAATGTCTTAATGTAATTAAATTAAAATCTTAAATAGACAAATCTTTGTAGCAGACAGGAAGGCACATACCTCTGCTTAGAACAGAAATTTAAGAACCTGAGTGTTATTCTATTTTTTTTCTGTTTTATACCCAGAACCTCTGTGAGTCTTTGCGCAGTCTTGTAGTTCTTACCATGAGATCTTCTGTGTGAGAAGTTTGGTTTGATGGATGTCCCCTCTAATTAGATTATGCAATGCTGATTTTACTCTGCCATAATACATTTTAAGGAAATACTCCAATGAAATGCAGATCAACACAGTCTAAGATACTATACATCAGAAGAACCACCGACCTCTTCAACTGTGCTCCTCTAGTGCCCAGTAAATGTGATGTCATTAACAGAGCTAAGTCGGAATGTAAAGGGTAAGCAGTGCTGCAGACCTGAATTTGGCCATATGGCAGTCTTGGAGACTGCTACCATTGCTCAGCTGATACACAGTAATTAAAGTGAATTTCACTGTGTGTAAACCCCTTAAATGCTTCCTAAATCACTCAGAAAGATCCTGGCAGAATAATATGTACTACTGCTTTCCTGCCTCTTTTACAACACTTTTACAATTATAACCAGATTTCTTCTTTGGTTCAGTACTGCCCTTAACATTCTTATTGTTTTCCATAGCTACAAGTCATGATCTGTTTTCTCTTCCTATTGTGAAACATGTCAGAGTATGTGTCTGTCTGATTAACAACATCAGACTCATGTCTTATCTTTCTACGATTGAACATACTCCATTGTGAGGATGCAAGGGAATTGAGTTTGTGATGTCTTGTATAACACTGTGAAGATTAATGTACACTGCTGAATCTCTGACTACAGGAGTTCCCACTGGACAACATGATGGGAACAGTAGGATATTTGTTATCTATGGCCATGACATTATGTCCTAGTTTCATGCGCCACAGTACAAAACAGTTGTTCTACTAACAGAAGTTACTTACAGAAATGATGTAGGTGGAATAGCACAAAGGCAAAAATTATTTGATCAAAATGAAGCATCCCACAACTCTTCCTAAGAAAGCATGTTTTTTGGCAATTAAATTAAACAACTCCCTGAAAACTTGCCCCTTGCAGATATGTGCTACTCTGCATGATTCTGAATGTCATGTGCTTTCAGTAGTTTTCCCTTCCACCTAGCTTCCAGACATTCTATAAAATTCTCAATATGGCTCTGTAATATATTTCTGCTGTGATTCCTGGTATTTGTCATGATCAGACACTGAGCTGGGTTAAAACGCAGTAAGTACAATGCTTGCTCGTATAGTTCCTCTTAGATGTCAGGCTGCATCCTTCACACCCTTTCATCTCCCTTGCTCTGCTGTTTTCTCTCCGTGGTGAAAGACTTTCCAATGGCTCTACTTTGCGCTTGGTCTTTACTGTTATAGGGCTTTTTAACATGCAGGTTAAAGCTCTCTTTTCCATAACTAGAGCCAACAGAGGAGGCTTCATCCTGAAGTTGCTTTAATGATAAAGCAATGTCTTAGCAATTCATCAGTATTTCAGAAAGGCATCAGAAATTTAAAAAATAATGGCCTGTTGAATGGGCTGCACTGGATTTTTGAGCCACTCCTGCTAGATTTTACCTGTCATATATTGGGGGAGGGGTATTGTTGATATAGATTTAAGTGCAATTTTAGTATTTTAGAATAAAAGAATTTTCTGAGATAAGAACAATTTTGAAGCTAAAGCATGAGACAGAGCAGAAGATAAATAGAGAGGATTTTTTTTTTACCACAAAAAAAAAAAAGCCCTGATTTTGAAGCTAAAGCATGAGACAGAGCACAAGATAAATAGAGAGGATTTTGTTTTTTGCCACAAAGCCCTATAAAGACAATCTTTATGTGTTTGCACACTCAAAACAGAAAAAAAAGGAAGAGAAAAACAAAAAGCCTTGGATGCAGTGTAGTTAGCTCTAGAGTCTCTATCACAGTACCAATTCTGAGCTGTCAGAAAGCAGCTCTATTTTATTATTTTTTTTCTCTCTCTGTGTGACACATTTTAGCTTTCTACAAAAAGGGAATAAAGGGGAAGCAGCTCCGGCTAGCCTTGGAAAAGCTATTTAGCTTGCATATTGTGGAACTGTCTTCCCTAGCTAGTTACTGCCATTTTATAACACTGCAGCATATTGGATCAAAGACTAGAACTGCCACCTCCTGTTTACAATGGGCTGGAGTAGTCACAGAATTGTCAGGGCTACTTTCTGTCTCGGTGTGATTGGAAATAAGACTGAAAACGGTAGGTTGCTACCAACAGGTTAATTTCTTTTTTTATTATTTATTTTTTGGCTTTCACCTGCAATGTCAATGCAAGTAAAGCTAAAACATTTAACCCCGAAGGGCAAGTGTCTTTTTTAATCCTTTCAAATATTCTTGAGTATACCTGGGATAACAGGCACAAATATGCATTCAATACTATTGTTTCGGAGATAATTTCAAAGGCAAAACCATGGAGCCAGGAAAAAAAAAAAACTAAAAATAATCCTTGAAGTGTGTTCTAGATTTTTAATATATGTTAATAATCCTTGAAGTGTGTTCTAGATTTTTAATATATGTTATGCTGAGACAAGAGCTGTTGTTAGACTGCATAAACACTATGTCCCAAGGCTTAACACTTAGACAGATTATTTTTGCAGCTCTGCCAGTACCGAATTTTTGTGAGAGTCATCAGTGATTTTCATTTTGCAGTGACAATATGTTGTTTAAAAATATCAACTGACTGATAAGAATACTTCCTTTTAAAGGTGAAATTGCATTCCAAGTATCCAGAGGGTGTTATCTGGGGGCTCTGGTAGAATGAGAAGCATTTGGCAGGCGAATTTCTAGTTTATATATCTCATTTACCTTTCCAGGTTTAAGAAAATAATTTTGTTGCTTATACTCACAAAAAAGAGACATAGAGCAGAGAGACAACAGACTGCAATTTTCACACTGGAGTAAAATACAAACTTGCAGATTCCCATCACTGTGTCTGTTAATGCAGGTACCTTAGCATGAAGATGTGCACAAGCTTCTAAAGTTGAATTTTCAAGAGACAAAAGAAACACAAAGAAGAAACATGAGTACTCAACATGTTCTTATATCACCAGCTAAGGTAAGAGACCACTGTCTTCTGTTTCACTCCTTATATACCTTAAACAAACAATCTCATTCCTTTTCCTGCATGTGCCTTGTGCAAGACCTAGGAATTGCATCATTGCTCTCATTTAGTGTAGCTAGTTGGTTATTTAGGGGTGCATACTGTAATGTGAAAAATAATGGGACAAAGATGAAGCTGATCTGGTGTTTTCTTTCTTACAGTGGGCTTTGATGTATGCTGAGATCAGAGAGCAAGATGTATGCTGCATCATGGGACCAAGGATCTTATGTGGATATTTGGTATCTATAATATACCATCTGTATGTGATTTAAGTCACTCTCAAAGGTGCAACCCTTTTGCTTACTTATTCTGTGGTTTTTTTACTAAAAGGCTGACTTGTATGTGCAAGCATCAGTTTGTGGACTCAGTGGTGACTTAAGGACTATTGCCTAGAGACTCCTTAGAGGTTTTGCAGTCTGTACAGGAGCCCTTTTTCCTTCATGATCTTCTACATCCAACTAGAACTGCTTACATTTTTAGTTCCAGAAGTTTCTGCTTTGGTGCTGTTGGTGACTGTGCATCTGTCACCATTATGCATACTGGTGTGTAATATTTAAAGGGATTAAACTTTGACAATACTGTTTCCTTAGGTCTCATAACACTGTATGTAAAATAAAGGAGTATAAACTACTTGGTACTTTATACGGTCTGGTATATTGAAAAAAATTTTTGACAGACTGATAAGTACATATTTTACAAAAGTTACACTTGAATCTCCCTTCCTTTTTTTTTTTTTTTGTATATATACAGATATATATGCAGATATATATATATATATCTGTAAAGTATTTGGGACTGAAAAGTATACAATTTTTTTCTTAAATATTTTCTGCTTTCTGCATTGAGAGATCCTTAGGTTACTCTTCATCATTTTTTCTAAACTCCCCTTCAAAAATGAAGAGACACAAGACTTTGCATTTTGGGTCTGGTATATTGAAAAATTTTTTTTTAAAAGTATTTGGGACTGAAAAGTATACAATTTTTTTCTTAAATATTTTCTGCTTTCTGCATTGAGAGATCCTTAGGTTACTCTTCATCATTTTTTCTAAACTCCCCTTCAAAAATGAAGAGACACAAGACTTTGCATTTTGGTCTGTTAATGCAAAAAAGAAATTATGTCAATGGAAATTAATTCAAGAAAAAAGCCTGGTGCTCAGAACATGCATGGGACTTAGAAATGCACCTCCTAGAATTTCTAGCCTGGTTCAGTTAGACTATCATAATAAAATAGAGTGATTATAGTTACTACCTAGTTATAACTGTATCTTTTTATTAATTACTTTTTCTCACAGACATGTAGGCTCACACATTTATGCATTAAGATTTGGGCCATGTTTTTTATTATTCTTTTGGAAACCTTGATATCCTTGTGTGTATTTGCTCAAAAGGGAAGCCAAGATGAACCATTTAATTTCTCTGCACATCAGACCCACTTCAAATAGTATTCTAGTACCATTCCTGCTACTCCTTCTTGCTTTGCATATTAATTTTAAATATCTTCTCTAGTTCCTCTCTATGTGAAATAGTTTAAAATAAAGAACTGTGGTGGTTACAGAAGCCCTCCAGAATAGCTTTCTCTGCGTCAAGTCTCCTTTTGGAGAAATTATTCCTCATTAATGACTCAAGTCTTATAGAATTTTGGAAATATTTCACCATGGAACTGAAAAGAACTACTTTACAAGGAGAGGAACTGTGTTCTTGCTCTGTAGTGGACAGGCGATTACATTCAGCCATTTCTTTCCTCTTTTCTTCTAGCTGCAGTCTGCAAGTCCTGCAGCAATATTACCCCAGAAGAGGGAAAGAAAAATCCCTGAAATATTTGTTAGATAAAAGGCATTCTTTAAAAAAAGAAAATATATTAATTTGAATACTGTTACTCAGGCAACGTCAGAGATTCAGCATAGCTTATCACTTACTAAGAAGGAAAATTGCTCCAGGTACATGTAAATCTAGTTCATGTCATTTCTTTATGCTTTTGGAAAGAAACCAGTTAATCTCAGACCACCTGGTCAGGCTCTCCTCTTGTTTTTGCACCTAACTACTTAGTTTCGCATTTGGTACAGTTGAGAAAAAATGAGGAAAAAAAGGTCCAGCTGGGTTGCTTTCCCTTTTCATAAATAAGAGTAAAGTCAGGCATTCCTTAACTATGTCAATTGTGATTTAGATTTCATTTTTCTTTTCAGAAAACAGACTTGTTGGGATGATGACTTTAAAATCCCTTCCCTATGTTGATATTTATAAAACACAGAGGGTGGAGGTTAAGCTCTGGCCCTGTTTTCAACGGCTTCTCTCATCAGCCAAGGTCAGGAGCTGAGCTCCTGCGGGACCTTGGGTTCATAGTTTTATTGCCAATGAGTAATGCCTTGAAACTGCATCCAGTTCTGCACTTCAGAAGTTTATGTGGTGCTGTTTTTAGTATCTTGATTAAAACTCAGTAGTAAACATAAAGTAACTCTCCTGTCACTATATATTTTCAAGTTTTACTATTTTTTCACCACTCCTCTTTGTGATCAGAGTAATAAATGCACCTATACAGGTTTTTCCCTGACATTTTATGCTTCTGACTCCATGAATAAAATCTGCTACAGAACTGCTAAAACAATGTCTCAGACAGTTAAATAATCAGAATGACCTTATTAAATAGGTGTTTTTCAATATTTAAAATTAAGACATTTTTTAGGTAAAATATGAAATTCACCCGTTTTGTGTTCACCCTCTCTTTTTCTTTTTTATTTTTCTCTTTTTTAATTCAGTAAAACACAATCCAGAATTGCTCACCTCTACCTGCAAATAAATGTGGAAAGAAGCAGCCTGGACAGAACATAATTATGATAAAAGCTACACATAGATTCACTTAGGATTACCCCTATTCTTGGCATTTTCTTAAAGATTTCTGGAACTCTTTGCTTTTCTCCTGCCTTGCTTTTTTTCTCCTGGTAGTGCAGTGTGATGATCAGGTTCAGTGTCTAATGAGGCAGCCATTCTGAACACGTAGAGACAAAGAAGAGGTTTCCCTGGCAACGAGGACCATGCCAGAGCTCTCAGAACAGTTATTTCCCCTGTATTCAGGTTCCTTTTCTGTTTAGGATGCCTATTAGTGTGAGTTCACAAGCAAGGCCTGGCAAGCTTTTCAGAGATTACAGCTCCTAAATATACATAACAAAATACAGCTAAGGCTATGATTTATGAATAAACTAAAAAGTGGTGAGCTGATATATATTTTTTCAGTTTTATATTTTTTAATAGAATCTTAATTAAAACAGTGATGACTACAAGTTCATTACATATGTATAAAGTCATTAAATACTCTGCCCATATCTCTTTAGAACATCACTGGTCTCAGCAAGGTTTGTGTGAGTTCACTGAGTTCTGAGCCATATTTCTGTTGTCACTAGAATAAGTATTAATCAAGGTTTTAGATCTAAACGATGCATGAATTTAAGCACATATAGATGTGATGAAATATTCAGAACTATATGTAATATAACTTGAATTTAAATCTCAGTTTAAATGTAGAGAAAAATTACAGTAATAAAGTATTGAAATATTGGATTTCTTTCTAATTAAAAGTAAAATGAAATTACAATGAAATTAAATTCTTTAGTTCAAATCTTTACTTGCATCTGAAATGTATAAGCCTTTTATGATGAAGACTTCTGAAATCACATTAAGAGATGAGCTTTTCCACATCCTTACAAGTTCTTGAGAGAATGGAGAAGATTACTACACCACCCAGCCCAAAGCTTGGTCAGCATTCTAAAATCATTCATGCAGGGATCCAACACAGCTGAGAGTTTTGATCTGGAAAGTGTTTTCAAAGTGAACCTGCTCACACACCTTAAACATACAACAGCAATTTCTACTTCATGAAGATCAGAAACATTAATCTCATATCCATGATATCTACTGGATATATGGAATAAAATAGTCCAGGTTGGAAGGCACCTAAAAAATCAGTGAGTCCACCTGATAAAAACATCTATTTAATTCCACCTTCATCAAGCGAGAATTCAAACCAACCAGCTTTCTTTCCTTCTTTTTCCCTTCCTCCCTCCCCTTTTCCTTCTGTCCTTCCTTCTGTCCTCTTGTCCTAATAAATACAGTCTTGTGACTACATCACTGTATGAAGGAATGGACAGCAAGTGTATGAATATTCTGAGACTACAGAAAGGACTGTTTCTGGACAGTATTGCAAACAGCTGACTTTTACTGCAGTCATAATTTCATCTGTCAGTAGCCAAACTTTTAAAACATTTATCGTACTTATTTAAAAAAAAAATCTATCTATCTATCTATCTACACATATATCCCGAGCACTTTAAAGTTCTCCAAGTTAAAATTCAAGCATTAGGATCCCAAGAGGAAAAAACCTCCCTACAGCCTTGAGTAAAGAACCTAAAAGGCAGAATTTAATCTCTCTCTCTTCATTATTCACTATTGATGATCTGTAGGAAGCTACACAGCGTCTATGCATACTGAGTGGAGTCCTGCATATTTAGAGAGTACCCTAGGCAGGTGCTTCCACTGGGATGTTAAACAGATTGCAACTAACTCCTCATGTCTGTGAGACAGGAAGGTTTTCTGACTGTCCTGGAACAAACAGGAGCCTTAAAAAAAAGCTCTGCAAAGTTCCCTGTATCTAGTTCTCATTCACTAACCAAATCACTTGTCACAAGTTCAGCTGGGATTGATGCGCCTGGGAAGAGATTGCTTGGCTCTTCTTTACATCCTGTCTCATATTCAATTCCATTATATGTAAAGTAAGGCAGTTACAAAATAGTGAGAAACTAAGGAAGAAAAATAAAAATGAGAAATAGGAGTAAAAATAAATTAAAAAGTGGGATCTTGCTTTGAGCCTGTAAGGAAGATATTTTCATTTTTTTTCTCCTGTGAAGATTGCAAAGGAAACTCATTTCAGCTTTGTAAGACCACAACGATTGCTTCAGACACAAAATGAATCAAGCCTCTTGTTGGATTATGTGGGTGGCATTTCCACTCTTCCCTAGTGGGATAATTCACAGCCTGCAGCTGTGGCATGAAAACTTAAATATTTTTTCTCTTTCTGTCTGGATTTAAAAGGAAGGACCTGCCTTCATTTGCTGTTTAAAAGAAAAAGGAAAAAGAAACTGAAAGCCCATTAAAGATTAGTAGTGTGAAACAGAGCAGTCATAAAACAAAACTGCATAAACAAAGATGGAATTAATTTGCATCTTTTTAAGCAACTATAGTCTAGTATTTGAAAGTGAATGAGAAGATGTGTACTTTCCCAGGTGTATTAATAACAAGATAATGGTTGTAAACAACCTCTTTGGTACTGTTAAGAATCATGAGTCTTTACTTACCTGCTCTTAAAGAATTGTTTTCCTTTTATACAACAAAATTGTTATTATTACCTATTAAAACAAATTTCTTGGATTCTTTGTGTGCAATTCAAACAAATTAGATAATATATAAACGATAAATTTGCTATTCTATATCATTAAAAACACTTTGCAAATTCCCAGCTGAACTTCACTTCCAAGTACATTTTTATTAGCCTAGGAATATCTTCTTCAAAGTAAAAAAAAAAAAAACAACAAACCAAAACAAAAAAAATCCAGAGCAAAAAAGAGACCCCAAACAAGTAAAAC